CTTTATTCTTTCCTGGCGAAGTTTTCCCAGAGAACTTCATTACACGCCCCGGGACGAGGAACTTCGAACAAAGGTTACCAATTAGAGAATTGCAGACTGTTTAACTATCGGCAGACTTCGGAGTCTGATTTCATCTGTTTTATTCGGTAGAAAAGTGACTGGTTAGATGTACTTCAACCTTGGAAGGTGCGAAGAGGCTTTTGACGGCTGGAGTTTTTGGGAAATAAATCAGGGCAAGTGTTATGGCGGCGGTATAGAGTGGCGAGCAGCGACGATCGAGCGAAAAGGGCAGGCGAAACTCGGTGACACACCGTGTACGTGTACCGAGTAGGTCTTGCGGAGCTAGCTGGTGGTCCTCATTATGTCGGCTTCCCCACCGCTGGCCGTCCTATCTATTTAACGTATCGTTTGCCTTGGTAACCATCCAAATTGGCCCATCCCTCTCTATGCGCTGCCAGCCGCATCTCCCGATCTCGCTCGCGTTCCCCTTAATTATTGGGTAGCCGATGTTTAATAACGCGCGCGCACCACCCCCTTCCTTCTCGATTTTTTCTCGCCCGGTTCGCGCGGCCGTAATAGAAAACACCCGTTTCCTGCGACGCGACGCGACGCGACGCCGTGACGTCAGGGGCGCCTGATTGCCAGCGACGAGCGTCGTCTCGCATGCAGAGACGATTGGCGATGGGATCGGGCTCGAATTAATGCGGAGCTCCGTTTAAACTGAACAATACTCGTCGCTTGGAATGTCGCGATTATTCGAATTTCGTTGTAATATAATGTAAATCAGTTTGTATCGGTTAAATTGTTTATATTCAAGGATATAGGAGCTGTTTTGCAGATGGAAAGGTTCGACGAAGCATTTACGTAACGATAACTCGAGCGAGACTCGAACGTTCGAACTGTACGGGCTGATTAAAACAGGGAAAAAAGAATTTCTCTGTGTAAAAAAGAGTTTTATGTAACGGAAGTTACGTGGATTTTAAGTACACCGCGAGATGCATTAAACAGGGAACGCGTTAAACAGCGTGGTACAAGGTAGCAATTACTTTCCAACCACCGTGTAGAAGGCACTGATCGCTCTGAGAATATAGTGAAAGTCTGCGCAATTATCGTACAATGGCTGCTCATTGATTTACTAATTCTAATAGGGTCGTAAACGTCACACGGAATAATTCAGCCAATATTTTCGAATATAATGGCAGACGGGAGCTCTATTAAAAGGTTCGTAAATATTTATATCGCGCGCGGGACACGTGAGCGCTGATCTAGTTCCCATTCGATTTCCTTTCTAAATACTTGTTTCGAGGTGTTCGGAAATTTTCGCTGATTTTTGTCGGTTCGCGGAAATCATTTGCGCCAGTCCGTTTCCGGCGACGCGCGGGATTAGACGTCGAATTAACCTTGACGCGACAGTTCCTCGGCCGATCGCTAGAACCCGATTGGATCTGACGCGCGGACGCGTCCGCATTTTCACGGGACGCGATACGAGACTCGCTTGGGATCGAACTATTATTGTGTAATCAAAGCTTACAGTTATCTATTAGCGAGCACAGAAGTCGATGGTCTGTAAAGCGTAATGGCTCCGCTAACGAAAGATAGCGAAGTGCTCGGTTTATAACCGCTTTACGAGCTGCTTTATTGCTATCGTGATTTCGAGCGATTGACCAACGCCGTTCTGATTGCCCGACCGGGGAAGAAAGAATATTAACGGCGTCAATCACCGGCAACACAAATTTGATAAATATTAATCCTTCGCGCACCGATCACGGCGACTGTCGCATTAACAGTCGCTGAATTAAACCGGAATGAAACCGGCGCGCAACGGCAACGTGAGCGATTGTCCGGCATCTTGCCGTGAAGCGAATTAACTTCGCGTTTTAATCGTGATCCGATGATTACCGTTCATACTTCCGTAGAACGAGGAGAACGTATCGCAGAAACTGTTTACCGCGGGTGCAAGTGTACTTGACATTTCACGAAAATGGGAAATTTGAAATGGAAAACGCGCGTGCCACAGACTTTTGTATTTACCCCGTGTGTTGTGTCTCTTTTTTCCTGTTTAAGCTCTCGATACTAGCTAGACAATTCTCTCGCGGTAGAGAACGGAATCTACGAGTTACGAATCATGTGATCTACAATTTCATTTAACCAATGAATAAAATTTTGACTTCAAATCGATACATATGCCAGTCGATCACTGAAATAGAACGAAAATCTCGAAAGAACTTTTCAAAGAGGAATCCTAAAACGACAGAGCTGTCAGAGAGATTCTATCGGTTCGAAGTTTCGGCGTTCAGCACGCAGAACCGGCTACCGACCGAAGTCGACAGCGAGAGGGTGCGAGGGGATATAAAAAAATTCAATAAGCCATAACGCGCGGCGATAACGCGCTCGCGAAACCGATTCCCCGGGGAAGCGGAGCGATCTGTCCGCGGGAAACTATGTACAATTACCGTTTTAATCTGCAGTTTCTAGCGCCATAAATTCCCGGGAGTTTACATCGAACACCGACAAAGGGAACGAGGTATACTGGCGCGGGAGACGGCACCGGGGAAGTTCGCGCGATGAAATTTATTGCTGGAGCCAATTCCGCGCAAATGGAAGAAACGTCTATGAGGTTTTATTCCGCCGCGCGCTATCGACAGCTTCAATCGGGGCCTCCCCGGCCTTTTGCTTTCGGTTATCGGCGAGTCGCCGCGTCCGCGGCACAATTAATTGCCGTCCTGCTTCGGCCGGACGAGAAAATCCGGAGTTTTTCCATTAAGGAAGAAACGCCGAACGGATAAACCCCCTTTGTGATCATTCTCGATGACGAGTGTCTTCCATCCACCTGTGCACGGTGAGTCCAATAAACTGTTACGGCTGAATGGATACCGCTGCAACGTAAGTATCGTTGAGTACCGTGGAAATATTTGCTGCTTCTACAGAGAATGATATTTTCATGTTGGCTGAGTATCGAGTTCATCGGTACTTAATGGAAACACGGTGTAGATGAAATTTTATGTGCGCGGTACTGTTTGACGATAGGTCAAGCAGTTGAAGTAGTCTGTGGCTCGGGTACAGTTAGAATGACCTGGACAGAGTATATTGTTAGGGGCTTGGCGAGTAATCGAAGGGAACTGGTGAAAACTGAGATCGAAGAATCGATTTTTAATGCAGAGATTTTAAGGTAATCTATATAAGATCATCTTAGATACGAAAAAAGATTGCAGTTGATTTTACAGTAAGTCGTTAAGAAATCTAACAAAGAGCGCGTGGAATTAACTTGAAAATCTGATCAAGAAACTGCTCTATTTCTCCAGCCAATTATCCGAACTCCCAAGATTCAACGTTAAGATTGAAACCGAGCATACTGCAGCGCTGCAGAAATCAAAGGTGCCACTGACAAAGAACCAGGAATCGCTTATCAATTTTTCCACGCGATCGTCGCATTGAAAGTGTGCGAACAAATGGGCGACGCGCTATCTCCGTAATTTGCAGGCGGACGTATACGCGGTGCGAGTTTGCACGGGCACCGCAGCCCGCCTGCGAGATCGCGTCGCGCGGCATAGAAGACAACGGCCGATGGAAACGAACGGAACGGTTTCCATCGATTCCAGCCGAAGATATCGATCCCCTTCGCCGGGCGGATGAGGTGCCAGCGCGAGACGGCGGAAGTTCGCGCGATGAAATTTACGGCTGGAGCCAATTCCGCGCAAATGGAAGAGCATCTATGAGGTTTTATTCGGGGCCCCGCTTATCGGCAGCCCCTATCGGCAGGCATTTGTTTTTGCTTATCAGCAGAGAGCTACGTCACGGGGGCCACCGTAAATATGACGGACGGATGCGACGATGGGATCTCAGCGCCGTCAGAACAAACGAGCGTCCACTGGACGCGCGGCCCGAAAATCTCGACGGCTCGATTTAGGGGGATGAACGACCGAGAGGCCGAGCCTCTGCGCCCGAGAGCCCGTGCTTCGACTACCGAATCGATATACCTGGCTGCGCGGGGCCAACGAAACCCGGGGGGAAAAGTGCGCTACGTTCTGCCGGCGGACCATCAACCCTCTCGAATTTCCGCTTTCATCCCCTAATATAAGTCTCCTTTCTTTCGCGCTGGTCGAAGACAACATTTCTGATTACCGATGATATTTGTTTGGTGCTAACTAAAATTTGGAATGGTTATTTTCCCACTGACTTCCTTCGAGAACATCTTTAAATCTACGTACCAATACTGTAGGTTTAATTGTCGGATAACATGAGAATTATTCGAAAACGTAACGACTTTAGAATATTTCACACGTTGGTACATAAAATTCTCCACTTATAGCGCAACCTCTTCCACACCTACATCCACCCAAGACCAACCTCCCAAGGGAGAGCTGCCAGCAGTGGATTCAACGATTCAAACGACATCGATCGTAAAAGGAGCGTTCCGGCGGCTGGGGCCGGATCAATAACGGCGCGGAACGATCGAAAATTCCGGCCGCGAGTCAGCATTTTTTGAGTCTTAATCACCGGCTCTAATTGGTCAATTACGCTCATTACCGTCTCCGATGCAGAGAAGCGAGTCGCGCGATAAAATCTCTTCCCCGGGCGCCCCTCCGCCGACGCTCGGTCTCGCGGAGCCGTAGCTTATCCCCCCACTCCTCGAGCCACCGCGGTAATCCCTGCCCCTCGTGCCTCCCCTGTGGACAGGGCCGAGGTCGCGTCCGCGACACGCAGAAACTTCTCCCTGTCAGGGAAAAATCAGCGGGTGCCTAGGAGCCGCAACGGCGATCGAGCCGAGTGGGCGGGGCCAGGCTCGCCATGCCCCTTCTGCCGCGCCTCGGCCCCGCCCCCTTTTGGATTTCCCCTTTCTCGCACTCTCACCCCCACCCCTGGACCGGTGGGTCTTGCTTCGTGGAACGGCAGCGGCGGCGGCCGTCTGCTCCCTTCCGCCGCTCCTCCCTCCCCACCTAGAACGGCGCCTCCACCCGCAAAACGAAAAAGTCGGAGCGCCGCGACCGGCGATGGTCAAAGTCAGTCCACACGGAGAGCTCGAGTCGAGTAGAGGCTAGTCCAGGTCAGCTGGTTGGAGATCCATCGATCCGTCGATCCCCGGCACCTGTCAAACGCGCGACAGACACCGACACCGGCTCAGTGACCGTGTCCACTAGCCGTCCTCCGGATTTTTCGTTCGCGATCACGCCGCGAGAGACTATCAGTGAGACTAAGCTGCCGCAATCGATTTGTGAGAAACGATCCCCTTTTTGTACGAGAATAATGAGAGACTAGACGGAGAAGAGGGAGCGAGCATAACAGTGATACACAGTGAAGAGGAATACGGTTGATCGAGGGTGTCAAATCGCGCGGTCCGAGAATGACAGTAATAAGGATGACATCCCCGGTGACGCCTCCATCGACCAGTCCAGGCTCAAACGAGGCTCAAGCGCCCCAGGCGACCTCGAAGCCGGTCCATCGATTGAGCTTCTCCGTCGCCGCGCTCTTGGCTGACACCAAGAAGCCGGACAGCAGGCGGGAAACATCCTCGGTGTCGCCTAGGTCGTCGCCGATCGCTTATTCGCCGATCCGACAGGACGCACACCTGATCGCGACCAACGCTGCTCTCCAAAGGTACTCCAGTGATTATAGATCGCGGTACCTGTCCGTATCCCCGAGCATCCACGATCTGAGGACAAACCAGTTCACCGCGTGCGAGTCCAGAAGCCCCGACGCTAGAGTAATCTCCAGGTACTCCGAAACCGAATTGGAGAGGATAGAGTCGCCTGGCCAGAGGTCCACACCCAGGACACTCGACTATGTCATCCAGACGTCCACGGACTCCGTTTCAACGTCGGACGTCGCTTGTTCCTCGTCGCCGAAGGTGTCTACAGCCAGTCAACCAGACTTCGGCTCGCAGAGTCCAAGAAGCAGCTCGCACGAGGCCAGGTCCAGGTGCTCGGAGACCGAGGACATCGAGGAAGAAGACGAGAACAGCTTAGTCGACGTCGAAGATCTGCAGCACCAACATCACGGGAGCAGTCCCACGCCGGTCAGACCGACGCCGGCGTACATCGGCGGATTTTCCAGCCTGGGTAGCATCTCCGGCATCCCACCGAGCCTCCATCCAGCGGTTTGGGGTGGCGGTCATCAGGGTGCTGCCGCAGCAGCGGCCGCGGCCGCCGCGGCTGCCACCGCGGGCTTCTTCCCCTCGCACTTCTCTCATCACGCGCCGCTAAACGGTGAGTACTGTCTTACTGTCTGGCCTCTTCAGGCAATCCTCCTCGTTTTGCACGGTCGCGGCCAGCTATTTGCCATTTGCCGGGGCGACGACAACTGCGCCCGGCTCGGTGCCTTTGAGCCAGCAACCCTGGCCGGTCGCCAATCCACGCGATTTCTTCGTCGTGGGATTCTTTTCGGGCCGAGGCCCGAAACTGGTCCGATTGTAAACTCGTTAAGCCGGCTGGCCCCGGCCCTCGAGGAGGGAACAGGGGCCGATCGTGAATGCGGCCACCGTTCGTTCAATGAAGCCGACGGCGTCGACATTCTTCGCTTTTCTCGACCCCGCGGGGATATTTTTGGGCGGACCGTTCCCCGCGCCACCCTCCGTCGCTGTCGCACCCCGCCAACCCCCTCGGCCACGCTTGGACGGAAGTCGGGTCGACCCCTGATAGAAACCCGCGACTTCTCTCTCCCCCCGCGGCTATTCTCGCGTTCCGTCAAAAGGGCGATTTCAAGCATTTCCGCTGCGACCGGGACTTGCATTGCTCTTTACGACCGGGTGAGATGGTTCAGAGACATTGGGAACTTTGCTACTTTTTTCCCCGTTTCCGTGGCTTCGCTGTTGGCGATCCTTTTTGTTGTCTGGTGTTCTTTTCGGATTCGGTAGTTTGCTCAGCGACGGACAGTTCCTCCGATTCTGTAGGATGATCGATGCAATTGTTGTGAATTCAACTGGAGAAGAGGATTTGTTTGTAATTTGGTCACATGAAACTGTTGGTGTTCAAGTATGTTATATTTTTATACAACGAAAGGGATATTGAGAAATAGACGTGCACTTTCGGGTCAATAATCGAAGAGTCGATGAAAGTTGAATTCACGTGAAGCGACGAACGTGACGTAATAAACGTGAAGATACTTTTTCCAGCGGGCAGAAGAAAGGTAATGGTTTAGTAAAGGCAGTTAAAATTAATTAGACATCGCGGTGTCGCGGAATTCCAGGCCAATTATACGGTTCAGGAGTCGAGTAAATATTTCCGAGGGATCATTGAGCACTCGAATGATATTTCATACGTTACGGCCCGGGAAAGAAAACCGATGGCCGCGCGCTAATTGATAAATTGTGACTGTCGATCAAACCGTGGCGGCGTTTATTTGCAATTCAATCGCGACACGAAACCTACTCACCTAAAATCACCGGTAAAGGAATGCAGTTCTCGGAACGGCGACGGATGACTCGGAGCCGATTGAATCATCGTTAACACTAATTATTGAGGTCGCGGCTTGATAATTGCGACGGGGCTCTCTCGTTAAAGAGGCAATCAAAGTTTTCTCGCTTCGTCAGTGCGGCGAACGCGTGCAGCGAGAGCGAACGAACAGTGGGCCGGTTCTTGTCGGGCCGCCGCGGAATCCAGGCGACAGAAACAATGGACGATTATTGCAAAAAAGGTGTTGAAACCGTGCAGTCTGATCCGTCGACAGTCAATCTTCGTTTTTCTGAATAAAGCACCCTATTGTAATTGAATTGTTCGAAATAATTTCGCATTCCTCCTGTTTCTCGAACCACGGTCGTCTTTTTCAATTCGGGAAACGCTGTAGATCGTAGATATAAAGAGCCTATAGGTAGCACGGGGGGGGATAAGCGAGCCATATGGTGGGGGAACGACTCTGCAATGGCCTTGAGCGTTCAACTAACGTCGCTTTAACTGTAGCGACGCAAAGATAGAAACGTTTCGTAAACTCCACTAAATCATGTATTTCTCTCATTTCAATGAAACTCGAATTTGTTAATGTTCACGGCTACACCGCAAAAAGTAGCTTAATAATCCATCGAAATCCATTTAGAAAGTGCAACGATCATACGAAATAAGATTGATACGCCGAGATCTGGATACGCGAAAGGAAGAATTCAATTAGCATTCAGTTCCTGTATTGCACTGAACCTGTAAATCAAACGCGACGATTTTTAGACCAGCTTGATTTATTCATTAATTCGACGAAATGGTTAATATTTCATCTTCGAACCTAAATTCTTGTTACCCAACCGCGAACGGCGCCGCGGTGCACTTTTCGTCTAGTCTGCAGTCACTATTTTTCGGGCTACAATGCGTAATTTCGCGTTTCAGCGAGGATTCAGTATACCGGTATCAATTTATAGATCATTGTTGGCTGACTGTGCCGCTATTTAGGGAGCTCCGCAGGCGGAATACAATTGACCATAATCGCCTGGCAGGCGAGAGAGCCCGAAGGTGTTCACCGGGGACGAGTCATATGGGGGAAACCCGCGTAATTTTGAAATATGGCCTCTCCGCTGAAGGGTGCTCCCGCAGATTGCGCAACCCTTGAAACTTCGCACCGTTCTCTGCCTTAACTATTCCCGAAAAGGGTCGACGGAGGACCGCGATAGTCTCCGACAGCCTCTAACCAGGCTCCTCGCAAACACGCGAAATATATCCTCCATCGAATGGTATCTATGCACGGTAACCAGACTTTTTTCCCGACACTCGGAACGATCGTTCCTAAATGAAAATCGATACATAAATCATCCGCGTTCAATTTTCTCTTGATTTGTCACGGTATAACGTTTATGAGTAATTATCATTGGACGGGGCATGTCCGAGGACATAAATTTCTATTAATGTCGCGGGGCGAATTCATGCGAGCCGTGCTCGTTATCGATCCGATCAGCTAATAAGAGCGTATTAGAAATCGTGGTCCATGAAGAAGCTTACGTAACCCAACAAAGAGCGCCCGGATCCGACGAACGGGATTTCACCTCGCCTTTTTCCCCAGCCACAATCGCCACTGTTTCAGATATCTGCGCGGGATCAGCTAATTATTTCAGTAATTTGCATGAAAATCGATCCGATTGGGGGGTAGCTATCTGCGGAACGGTCGCGATCGGCTCGAATAAATCAGAGCGTTCCAGTTTCTCGTGCGTTCGGCGCGGTTCTTTCTTAACAAACGCGACCGATGGAACTTCGGTGTCCCCGTTCACATACACGAAATTTATTTAATCCCCATCTTCGCAATACACCAAGTCTCTTCGTCGCGCAATCAACGATATTCCATTCCGCGATGTCGATCGTCGACGAATTTCGCCGCAAAGACTCATAAAGCTGTAATCATTTCGTATCTATTGCTCAATGTCCATCGTTAAGAGATCCTGACAGTGGAATCCGCAATAAAAAATGGCGAGATTTTAATCACACCATTAACTACTCCCGTTTATCTTGCAATCTCGATCGTTAAAAAAAAGAGAAAAAAGAACTTCCCAGCTATTTCCATCGTTTCGCGGCGCGCGCCGGTATCCTCGAGCAGCGCAGACAGACGAAAGAGAGGAGGAAGGCCGCGGCGATACACCAGGCGATCCCATCGATCAATTAAAGGAACGGAAACGCGAGCTCGGTGACTGGCCGATGGGATCGCTCACGATCATTTACTAAACGCTCGGGACGTCGGGATCGTTACGCAACGCAGAAGAGATCCGCGCCGGTCCTCCTCCGCTCTGGATCATCTCCGCGGTATCTCCGCGAGATCAGCTAATTATTTCGAATGCGCATTCTCGATCGCCGGGAGCCGGATTTAAATCGAGCGGCCCCGCGTTTTTGGTGGCCGCTGCGAACCGTAGAAAATAAACCTGAACGACCCAACCGAAACGGAGACGAGAAGAGAGAGGAAGAGAGAGAGAGGACGAAGAGAAAGGGAGGGAGAACCTCGAATACCGAGACTAATTGGAACCCTTGGAGAGCCGTAGAGAAAGCCGTGCAGAGGAATAGAGATCGATGCACAAAGGACGATTCTCCTCCGTCAAGAGAGTGGCTGTCTCTCGCAGTCCCGAAGCCCGTGCTCGCGAATCCCGGAGCAGGAAGAACGCGATTCCCGAAACGGGGGAGGAGAGCTGAAATTTGAAATTCAGAAGCGGGACCCGCGGACGAGGTCTCTCGGCCTTTTGTCTCGTCCCGAGATCTTTCTCTCTTTCTCTTTCTCTCCGCCGTTCCTGTCTCGCGAGCCGTTCACCTCTCCGCTTCTACAAATCTGTCAATTGTCTCGTGACAAATCTCGGGGAATATAACCGATATATTCTGACGCGATCTCCGTATACCCGGTACGCCCCGTCTGGAAGCCCTCTGCATCCCGATGTTTCGCGCTCGATTGTTTCGGGATTGTTGTATGACAAGCCTCCTTGATGCTCCGGCAGCCTAGACGGGATCCTCCGGGATGATTTAGTTTTGTCGAGGACTGTTCGCAATTTGCGTTGGTTTCTCTTGGAGATTCTCGCACTGAGACGCCGTTCGTAGCGATGATTGATTTGACAGGGATGGAATCGAGAACCTTGTACGTGAATCATAAGAGTTCCTTGATACTCAGACGAACTACCATCCTTCTCAACTTTGACATTAATCGTGTATCTTCGCGTAATAGATAAATTAGGAATTTTTCTGTTCCGCCGGCTCTAATGGAAACATTCTGCCCCCGAGCGTCTCGATTATAGATTCCACGCATCCTCTAATTACAAAATTTCAAACACCGCTAGAACCAGCGACGATAACAAAACCGGTAGCAGAAAAACACAGGAAACCTCTTGAACGTCGAGCACGCCGGAGCATAATAGGAGAACAAGCACCGACACCAGGTTACAAATCCCCCGCAACCTATAACTCTCGTGTACCAGTAGCCCCGGGCAATTCAGCATCGCCAGAAGAAAAGCAGAACGCATCCCGTCCCGGTGTCCGCGATTTTTCGTCGTTCGCCGTATCACGGTAAAACGTTGCGGGGCGCGTCGGCCGCAACAACGGCCCCCCCCCATAATCGTCCGTGTAATGCGAGCCACGAGGGGCCCGGTGGATCGTCGGAGGCTGGAAAAGCGCGCGGCGCGGCGGTCGCGGGGGCAAATTATTCGGTGGCCGGGTAAAACGGTCCGGCGGCGCTATTACACGGTGCTCACCTTTCCCCGGGACGATATATCCTCGCTAATGAATACAAGCGGTAGCGTTAGAGCAACAATTCGCGGCCGGAATCTTGCGGTCGGCCGGCAAAAAGGTAATGAGGCCAGTTTGCGGCGCCGTTCCGACGGGGAAATTATGAATTGACCCCTTTAAAAAGTCCTTGCCGTGCTGCCCGACGATCCCGGGCGTCGGCAAAAACAGGACGTTGCGGTCGGGACGGGGTTCAGCTTCGGGCTACGGCTGACCTGCTCGGTCGCGTCTGTAACATCGTGTCTAGAAAACTAGAGCTAGTACTGTTGGGAGATCACTGGATGCACAGTGGCTTGGGGGCAAGAGTCCTCCGCTGAGGCTTTCGTTTATGTACTTGATAGGTTATGTATCACGGTGTTGACTAGAACGAAGTTAGTATCGAAAATGACATGGGAAAGGATGACCGACTTGTATTCCTTAGTCTTGTTGTCGAATGATTTCCTAACAGTGCTTTTAACTGGGAACCCGAATACGACATTAGGTCTGGAAGCTGACTACTAGAACTAATATTATTTGAGTCGCTGAGTATTTGGATATTTGGAAAGATTTTACCGAGCAATGAAAAACTTCTCGAATATGTTTTGAAATATGGTTTTTGATACTTGTGTTACTCTAATACTCGGGTAATTGACATTTTTGCATAACATAGCAAAAATAAAATAATTAATCGTTTGGGAATAAAAATTAGTAGGTTGAGTAATAACAGCTCTAGTAGTCTGTTATATGAGGTATTCCGATGCTGAGGTATTTCATAAGGATACATTTATATCGAAGCTGCGATAGGATCGAAGAAAATAGAATAAATAAGATGTGTATTTCCTATCTTCGTTCTCATCGAGTATCGGAACTCCAGTATAAATATACCCTAAGTCACAGCAGCACAAAAAATGTGGCCGCGAAAACCAGAGGGAACCTCAAGCGTGAACCGTGCCCGCTTTCGGTTGCAGAGAACGGGGAACCGGCCAAGATCAAGTGCAACCTGAGGAAACACAAGCCGAACCGGAAGCCGAGGACGCCTTTCACCACGCAACAATTGCTGGCGCTCGAGAAGAAGTTCACGGAAAGGCAATACCTCAGCGTCGCCGAGAGGGCCGAGTTCTCGTCCTCCCTTCACCTCACGGAGACACAGGTGAGCGAGTTTCCTCCGTTCTCCTGTTTCCTCTTTCTCATGTTTTGTTTAACCGGAGGCTTGAGAATTTGAGAAAAATATTCTGTCGCGCATATTAAACCGGGGCCTCGTGTATTTTGATGCGGCAGTCGGATGTTCGCATTTTTTGGTATTGACAGTGACCTTTCGAAGCTTAAAATGTAGACATCTGTTGCCCGAAATACTTCAGTTTTTCTGTACCGAACGATCTGTAAAGAATTTTATTTTCTGAAGATATTTTCAGTCGTTCGGACAGCTCCGCTGGATCGCGTTCGTAACTTCGGAATATCGTGTACACGCGATACTTGAAATGATTCATTCGAGTTTCTTCATACTATACGATTACTCTGCAGAATCTTCTTTTTGTAACGTCTCGAGAAAAGAATTCCTTCTGTTCTTAACCTACTTTTTAACACTTTAACTACGATATCGATGCAAAAAACTTATCCCTCTGTTACGAAATCATCTGTTGCGATTATTGAAATGATAGATTCTCCGAGAAATTCCTGGAGATATTGATTTGCTAACACGCAAACTGAATGACAAGTCAATCGAAATTCCAATGCCTACTCTTGGTGTTCCCACAGAAAAATGTGAAAAAATCAACGTAGGTGCCCGATAGTTCTAGAGTTGACAATCCTTTTCACCTGAAAATCATTCTCCACTAAAATTCAGGAAAAACGTTTACAGTTAGAAGCGTCCGTCGCCTACAGTGATTTCCCGGCGTTTTCCCACAGAGCCGGATTTCGAAGCCACCCGGCACGTTTCACAGTGCCTCGAGCCCCCGAGGCCCACAGTTTATTATCGGCCGTAGTTTTCAACGGTGCCGGTGAATCTCCAGAATTACGTTTTACGATCAACGTTTCTCATTTAGCTGCGGCGTTAACCGACTGGCTGGCCGGTTCTCTTTATTCTCACCGCGCATGCGCGTTCGCGTTCAGTTCACGAGTCAAGGGTCCCGCACTTAACAGATCTCGCCAGATGCGGGGTAATTAGCGCGCGTAAGCGTGCAGTATCCGTCGCTGCTGGCGAAGAAACACGGTAATTTTATTAATAGACTACAAATTGCTTGAAACCCGCCCGACAATGGGCCCGCGATGATCGACCAATTATCTCTACCCGGCGGACTCTCGTTGCCGTTGACCGGGTCCTCCGGACGTCGTTTCACCCGCGTGTCCGTCAACGAAACGATTCGTTTTACGCGACCATTGTCGCCCGAGACGCCCTCGGTGTATTAACTCTTGGCAAATTCGTTCCCGGAGCTCGGCGGCACGGGACGCCCGACAGAATCGAGACGCGGAGCTTTTAGACGACGAAAGAACGGTGAAAAATGCTTCGAGATTGAGTGGAGGTAAACGAGGTGACGATCTAAGGAGATAGAGGATGGTAGGTTGGAGAAAATTTTAGAACGGAGAGCCGCGGACCTCTGATCTTCGGTTAGATTCATGTTCTTTAAGCAACGGAGGAAATATATAGGCACTTTAGGATTCCTATTCCATCATACCTTAGTTTTCAACAGCTAGGAGCTAAAATAGAGGCTAATAGTCAGTCCATAGAAAAGGAGTTACAAATCTAAGACACTGAAGTCTAAAAAGAAGGCAAGAGTGAATCAAAGCTAAATCTCTATAAAACTTCCTAATCTGTCAAAACGAGTCTCAGTACCCCCAGTATTATACGTGAGAAATTCACAAGGGAACATTACAGAATTAACCTTGAATATACATCAATACACATTTCGCGACGCGAATAAACACGAACGTATACATCGTCGTCGCGTTTCGCAAGCGCGGCTGACAAAATATCGCCGTTGGCACTATAACGAAACTAATCGAACCCATCAGCCGGTCAAATACAAATCCGCGTTGTCCGATTGTTGCAGGTGAAGATCTGGTTCCAAAATCGGCGGGCGAAGGCGAAGCGGATGCAGGAAGCGGAGATCGAGAAGCTGAGAATGTCAGCGGTGAGGCAACACCACACAGCGCTGTACGGCTCGCATCCGGGCCTGCTGGCACCGGCGAGCCTCTACCCGGTCGGAATGCTGTCTCATCCCGGTCTGACGCCGCATCATCCGATCTCTCAGCACCCGTCCAGAGAATGAAAGCAGCCGGGGGACGGTGGAGCCTCGCAGCGACCGGTAGTGAACCGTGCCGATCCCCTCCAAAGAAACAATTCCGCTCCGGGAGGAATTGTTCGCCGATGAGCAATCGGTCGACCAAAGGCTGTGCCTGTGAATGGGACGAAAACGTTGACGAGAGGGAGTACGTTGGTATGCGTCCGACGAGGGCCGCGGTGAACTTGGCTCCGCGGCTGGACCAGCCGAGGCAGACGTTCGTAGAAACGCCGATGAACCTTCGTAGATGTGATACCGCTTCGAGGAATCGTTCCTGCTCGACGATGACTCGATTGAGCGATCGGGCTGAACGAGGCTGTGCCTATCAAAAGGACCGTGTTTACGGAAGGTTGGAACTGGTCGGGGCTGTAGCGACGAATGCCCCGTAGTAGAGAGTATGGGTAACGAGATGGATCGAGGATCGTGTCTCTTCGTGATCGCAGTCGACGAACGATAGTAGACGCTGCTTCGATGAGAGGTCGAACAGCAAGATTCGCGAGTGGAAGAGAAATATTGCGAATAGAGTGGGGTAAGAATGATCGAGTAGACGAAGAGGCGAAGCAGAGGATGCTTTCTACGAGGAGCATTAGATAAGCGGAGAGTGGAATGTGTCTGTGAGCAGAGAAGTAGAGGACTGGACCAAATATGGAATGAATGGAGGAGTGAAGAGTATTCTAGAATTGAGTTCTCCTGTGAGAGGAGCGGAAATATTAAGAGCGAGCCTGAAGAGGATTGAGAAAAGAGGATTGGTGATAGATAGATGTGTATAGAAGAAAAGGGACGAAGGATTTTTATCCAGGCTGTTTAATATGGACCGAAAGGAAGAAGCGGAATAGGCGAAGTCAAGGTGGAAGGGAGCCGAATTCTCGAAGAACTGGACCAAAGTTAGCTACCACAGACAGAGGAGTCGAACTCTGGCGTGCGCCGATAGGGACACACGATCGTCGACATGGCTCGGCGGTGTTCCGCGATATCGATTCGAGTTCTCAGACTTTCCTGTCGAGTGAGTCGGAAATTCCGTGGCGAGCGGGCACAACTTCCGATCGGTGTGCGCCCGTAGGAGGGAGAATGATCTGTGACGCGTCCCTGGAGAACGCGAGTCGTGAATCTGTGCCAATTAAGCCTTGTACATACCGTGTAAATATCGTCGTTCCCGGATCGAATTGCGAACCGTAGCCCTGTAAATACGTGTGCTCGAGCGTACGACGAGCGTGTAGCGGTAAGATTGGCAACGGCGGGATCGGAAACCCGCCGCGTGCCGTTTTCCAATTTTGTATAAATGTAAAACCGTCGCCGACAGAGTAGAAGAGTCTATTTAATAAATCGCAAGTAACGAATGAAACCACTGTTGATTCTTAATGCTGTGACACCCGACACCCAGCGATCCCCGCGACGACCCGTTATAAGTATCCTGTGAATAACGTCCGATTGAATTTTGAAAGCTGATTATGCAAATGCAGATGTTTCACTTAAGATCCAGTAGAGTTTTTGTTGGAGATTTCACTAGACTAATTTTTTTAACTTCTGGGTATACTTACTGCATATAAATTGTTGATGATATTAGTGTTTGTAGTGAAATGTTTGGTATAGAAGTATTTACAATATTGAACGTTTAAGGTATCGAACAGTTTCAAATGGGAATAGTAGAATGTCCAGTTGTCTACGGAAGCCAGAAATATTTAAAGGTGCTCCGGGGGGCTCGTTCGGGCGCTTGTAAATCGCGTTAATTGCCGTCTGTCATCGGACATTGTGTCAATGAGGATCCGCGGGACGTTCCGCTAATTGAAAAGCTCCGACGTTGATTCACCTGTTCTGGCTATCCGCCGTTTCCGTATTGGCCCGCGATTAGAAAGTCGGAATAAATTATCCGCGGCAATTAAACGAATCGATGTTCCCTCCGGCCCGATCGCCGATAAATCGAACGAATTTATTCGCTCGTTAATGGCTAATAATCCACCGTAACGTCCGAATAAAGTACGGGTTTAGGGTCCACGAGTTAATGAGTTCAAGATATTCGATGGGGCCGAAGATAGCGAGTTTTTTGGACCAATTTTCGGGCGGGAGGGGAGGATCGATCGAGGATCGGGGAATCACGTGTTCCCGGTAACGGTCGACAATTTGTCTTTCTTAGCTTCTAACTGGATTCGTCCGGGCCTCGCTTCGGACGCCAGCTAATCAGAGCTCGGGCGCTCTCGCAATCGTGTCTATTTGAATGGGCGCATTGATGACGTAACGCGAAGAGAACCCGGCGAACTTTTCTTTGATCTCCTCTAACAAGTTCGACAATCGTGGCCCACCAATCAACAACAATCCATCCAATTCACACCGAGTTCCTTTTACTTTTACACCGGCCACGGGACCGTTTGAAACGTTTAGGATCGCTTGTAACGTTCCATTTCACATCGGTTTATTTCTGTCACGGTGTCGTTAGACCGTGGACGTTTTTGCGAAACCAGAATTTCCTGAATATCTCTAATGAATAATAGAGTGATCCGGACAGCTCTTATCAAGATAATACGCCGTCCTTGCAAATGCGAGCCTATCTTCTTTTTTCCTAGCGGATATTTATTTCATTGCTGTGAATGGAAACATTTCTGTATCTATGTTTACGTAACTTTTTTTCACATTTAGCACAAGCGAGGTGTAGTTCAGGCCGTGCTTACGTCATTGCTCCCACCGAATGATTCGATCTGCGTTTCCTACGTTCGTCTTCAATTCATACGAATTTATTCAACTTATTTCACTCGTAAAGCGAACAAAAGTTTTACTAGTCGCAGCTGATAACGAAATAATTGAAATAATCTACGACTCTGCGAGTGTTCTTCAGTTAAAGAACCATTTCGAGGTTCAACGATTACACTCGAGATACTTATCTTCATCTCATTAGCAAATCTACGGTGCAATAAGAAGACTGGGCTTTAGGAATCCCACTCAACGAATTAGTGAAGATATTATCTACTCTGCATTTCGAGAACCAATTTACAGTTTACCAGTTATATAGTTTGAAAAAAGTGTACTGCGCGCAACAAGTATTCTACGGTTCAGCAACCCATTTTCAGCTCGTTAACAAAGCCATAATACATAACACACAGCTTCAGAATCTGTTAATTAATTTACAGTTGAGATAGTAGTAATTCCTACCTCCTTTTCAGCAACCCTAAATTAATTTCAAACTCTACATCTACATTTCACGTAGGTCTTCAATTCAAACATTGTGCTACCAATATTAATAAATAATTTCGCAAACATTCGTAATCCAACAAAACCCTGCCATTGTCAAATCTTCCGTACACTAACCCGAAAGAAGAGCCTGAGAACACGACAGTGCACGATCGAAAGGCACGAGTCCCGTGTCAGGGTACGGTTCCACGGTCGCGCAGACCCGTCGATGGCCATCAGCGAGACGGGGTGAACATCCCCTCCCACCGTGCGTCTGCCCGTTTTCGGTGTCACTCTCGCTCGCGTACCCGCGATTACGTCGCGACGATTACGCGGTAGCCGAGAATGGCGTCTCTGTGCGTACATGTCGCGGGAATAAATTAGCCGTGGCAATTAGTTTCGGAATCGACCCGCCCCGGGCGGCCGGCGCCACCATCTTGATTGCACCCGTGGAGAACCTTTAAAGACAGTAGCCAGCACTGTTTGCCGAAAGGCTCGAGCGCCGTTCGCGCGGCCTAATTAGCGATGCCCACCGAGATATCGCCGACGTACGCTAATAATACCGAGCATAAATATTCCGAATTTTTTCGTCTGGTGGCCCGTCCGCTCCTCAAACCCCTCGGCCTCTCTTCCTTTTTCTTCCCTATTCCGCATCCTTTTCCCTCTCCCTTTCGGCCCCCTACCATACCGATCGCCAGCTAATTTCTTATTGTTATCTTATCACGCGCGACTCACCGTTCCTCCGACGGTTCCGTGAAATCTCCTTGTAATTGGCCAGCTCCGCTGCTCTCTCCCGTAATCTCCATGCCATCGAAGAGTTGCGTTTAAGAATCTTACGGTTGCACTTCGGGTCTTCGTTTGAATCGAGATACAGCGGCTTCGATCGTTCCTTCGATTGGGCACCACGCTTCTTTTCGTCAATAGAATTGGCTCGACCGTCGGAGAATATGAATTGTTTAATCTTCGGCTTGGCAACGGCTGTTGCGTTGCTGGTTCAATTTCTCCAGTCCTTTCATACCCTTTCCCTTTTTAACCAGCTCTCCATTCCATCACCCTTCTAGCGGCACCCTAATCGGACCCTTTCACCCCTATCCGCCGCTCGACGTTAAACGAGGACTGTCACTGCTAATCGAGTAGTTAAATACCTCCCATGATTTGTTGGGGTGGATGGAGACCGACTTCTTGTAAGCGATACCAGTTACAATCGACGGGATTAATAAAAGTTGTCGAGTCTAGGGGAGAAGCGAGGGTTGAGAATCAGTCCTATTCTAAATCAGTGTTCATTGATCAACCCCTTGAACAGCCACAGAAAATTAACCGAACACAACCGACTACCTAAACGTCTACTTCGTTTCTTCCTTCTTCGATCACTAAATCTTGATCTTTGAAACTTTCACGTTGGCCAATGATGCCGCTCATTCTGTTTCTGGAATCCAGTTTACAGCTGGACACATCATTTCTCTGTTGTACACTCATATTTCTTAATCAGAGAATATTGTCCGGGAGCCTCGGGGTAATTGCGAGGAGGTAAAGATCAATCAAACGAGGGCGCGGCGGACATTTTAATTTCTCCGTTTGATGAACGAGGAACACGGCCGCGCTCCTATCGCCCACCTTATCAGTACTCCTTCGGCTCCCCCGTTTCCAACCAGTCATCTCCGGCCTTCCGCTCGGTACGCTTGAATTTTAATCGCGTAATTAGTCGCCGGTCACTAGAGATTGCCCGGTTACCTGTTTTGCTCGCCGTTTCATGTAACCAGATAACATCAATCAGATGATATCGCCTAGGCTACCGGCTCCCGCTTGTTAGGCCTAACTGCGACCCACGGACGCGCATCATCCGTTCAGCTTAATGCCGCATTATCTCCGGGCCCCGTGAATGGACCACGGGGGGAAAAATCGACCTACACGCTCGATCGATAAGCAAATGCCCGGGAATTTTGTCCGTTTCCGTCGTTACAGGTGCGCGCTTACCGGCCGTCGACTAATTAGCCGCGTCTACCGATTATTCTGTGCCTTCTGCGCGGCTGCTGCTATTGTCAGCATGCATCCTGATACCTGGATAGCGTCAGATACTCGGAACAATTGGATTTTGGTAGCTCCGAGAGGGTGTATTGTTCGTAGAACCCCTTGCTGCAGCGTGGCTTTCATTACGACGGTTTTAACTTCGTTTGCTACCGAGATTCTTGAATTCTTAATCGAAGTCCTTTGAATGTTTGTTCCAAGTTAATATAGAAACTAAACAGAAACTAGATAATAGGAAATGTAGAGGCAGAAGAGTTCTATCGTTCAAGCAACCCAGTAGAACTTCAATAGTTGTGGTATTTGAAAATATTGGAAATTATGGAAAACAGAATAGGGAGAAGTTTGATTCGTAATTAAATTAGAGTCATAATAGAATCGTAATAATAAGGGGTTCGATGCAACCGACTGATCACTGAGAAGATTCAACAACTCGGAAGAACTAGATCAGATATCACTAATAAATTAGATGATTTTATAGAAGACTTGAATATATTTCTCTAGTTGCATATATTTTCAGCTTAATTTTCGTGCAGCTATCTACTGTACACTACAGCTCGTGGAATTCTTCTCCAGCAGTTCGGCTGCCATAATACCTATCAGAATTTAAATCGTACAATTAGTCGATGGCCGTTGTTTGCCCCCGACAACGGGGCCCGGTATCGGCTACCAGGCAGCTTGTTAGCCCTAACGACGAACAACTCGTCCGGTTCGGTCGTTCGTTTCACGCGCGACTCCCGAAGGTTTCCTCCAGCGAGATTATTTTCGTGCGAGATAACCGGGGCCCGGATTCTAGCCGAAAAGAATCGTCGACAAGTCGCTCGTTCAGTTCACGAGCTTCTTTAAAACTGCTCCGAGTTATTGTCGGATTCTCGGCTGAAAAATCATTATCCTGATCGTTCCCTGTCTGACAATTGCACAGATAAGTAATTCCCCTTCTTACGGACTTTATAATTTACCTATACAATAATAATTATTTGACATAGAGTATAATACAACCATAAACCAATATATCGTGCTTACCAGTATAATTCAATAATCTTTTATTGACTTTGATCCTTATAATGTAGAAGTTCTTAATGACTATCGACATAGCTCACTCCAGATCCATTCAGTTTCATACATACTAATTTCTCTAAACATATTTTGAAATATACTACTTCTAGGTACATCGCTCTACTTTCAAATTTAATGCGAATAATTGTCAACCACGGATTTGCCTTCATAAACTAAGAAATTAGAGGGTGCTTGTAAAAATCAAAGTCGAGGGGTTCAAGGAAGATTGTTTAGCTACTTTCTCGTGAGACACGATCATTAAGAAGCGCATTAATGGTATTCCGATGGGCAAAGTGTTAATAAGCTGGCCGATCGCGGCGAGAAAGGGGGTAGACGCGGCGGGAGGGTGGTATTTCACGAGCGGCACCGCATGAAATTTATTGTAATACGGGTCACGACGCCGAGATTCCAGGAATTTGCTCGGCCGGCCGGTCGATAACGGTCGAACAGCGAGATGGCCTCTCGCGATTCGAATAATTACGTAATTACAAGAGGGCTCGCGCGACTCGAGGAACCTCGAGCACACTCGTTAGTTTTGCGGCCGATCGCGCGACAGACCTCGTTGTGCAGCACCCACCGCTTAATTACCGATAAGATGATTTACCTACAGCCGCTGCGACGTGGTCTCTAAACGGAGTTTTGTACCGATTTAGATCCCAGCATCTGATCCGCTAATCTTGTGTTGGGCTGCTCGACGGAATGCGAATTTAATGATGTACAATTTTAGAACGATGTTCCCGAAAAGTATTTTCACAGATTACTTTGGAAATTCTTCCTGATTATTCGTTGCGTATTGAGTATAAAATATTTTAGAACAGGCTATGTGGATTTTAGACTGATTAAAAGAAACTTGGAATTTCGTTAAAACATTTAAGTCTACATTGTTCATTTATAATAATTTGGCAACTTTAGTTTTTTATTTTTTTATTTAACACGTTGAATGCCGCACGATTTTCTTAAGCAAAATACGCAAAATGGAAAAAATGATATTAAATCATTTGATTGAATTGAATTATTATTGTTGCACGTTCTTCTAGCTGAATGTCACGAAATTAAGTAACATTATTTGTAATATAGAAATGTTTCCAAATAATCATCGTTTCATTGAGTGAACTATAGTAATTCAATTTGGTTGAGGGTCACCGATGACCCCCAAGGCATTCAACGTGTTAAAAGAAAAATCTGTTTTGTGTATACGAAAGAAATCAGTTTTAATTTAACAGTGAGGTCAACTGAAAGCGTCAAATAGAGCAAGCGCAGTACAAAGAGTCTTGTTGTCTGTTCTAACCTAATTGTGGTAAGACGTGAAGTGATTTATTCTTCAGTATTATGCATGCATATTTCAAGAGAAATTTGTTTGGTCGTTGTATTAGGACGAAATTGTAAAACAGAAATATTTGGAGATTTTATTAACAAGGTAATGTTGAAAATATTAAGAGCTCACCCTGAACAGCTTCGCAGCTTTGTTCTTTTGAACTCCTGGAGTGACGTTCAGGCAATGTTGATGATCTTCGTCACAACACACACAGACACGATTTTCTAGGACTGTCCGGTTCACGCGTACATCTAATTACCTCAAATTCCTTATGTAATTTGTCGAAACGAGTTCAAAACTTCTGTTACGCAACATTTAACGCGCCTCTTTCACTTGATTACAGAACACAAAATACCTTTCCATCTGCGCGCGCTGCCACATTGACTTTACGATCACATGACGCAACGGCGGCAAGTTAATAGTTTCGATCTGTTTTGTTTACACTGGTCTCCGTCACGTGACCGGTAAACCAACATGGCTGTTCATGTGGCGGAGAAAGCGTGGCGTGCTCTTCAATTAAACGGGAAGAATGTTTTTATCGTCGTGCAACGGAACTTCCGAGCTCGTTTCTGGAAAGTATACAAATCATTGAACACTATCGAATGTTTGTGTGAAGGTGACAATCCTAGAAAATCGACTGTGTCCCATAAGATCGTGCACTCCGATGGACAGCAGGTCAAGGAAAGAACTCGATGGCCGTGTAAGGACGTCTGAAAGTAAAGGTAAGTAACTTGAATATCTGCAAGACGCTACAACAGAAATCAAAGAGCTTTCCTAATTAGTTAATTCAAAGAATCTTCCAACATCTACAACTATTCTTGTCTTTGAATGATTAACCTGTCTATCACCTTTTACAATTGCCCAAATCGGATAGAGTATTGTAATCTAAGTTAAATGACTCACCGAGTGTCTTACATGTTTCCAAAAACACATCACTTTCCGTATGACTTCATCATTTTCACTTTTCAAAACATTTACATACCAAACACGTTGTCTAATACTCATTCTATCAGTAACCACCTTGAACACTGTTCGGCACTGATTTTTGAGGTTATACGCATCGCTGAAAAGATCACATGACCCGATGTAAACACAGATGGCGATTATTGAAAACTTATTTAAATTTAAAACAATTAAAGCCAGTTGACTCTGAAGACATCGAATGAATTTGCACAGCTAATACTAATGAGCATACGTTAATAAACGATTCGAACGTTCGAACGGCATTTCATCTGACGTATCGCATTCGATTATCCTGAAATCCTGGCGAACGAAGTGAAACATAGACGCCATTGGTCTTTGTCGCTGGGCAATATTTTAAGACTGTTAATAAAATAACGGTTTCCTAGCTCGCGTCGATATCGGTCCGAGTAAAACGGGACCCGTTGTCGAATTAAAGCGCCTCCGCCGCGGCCGGGGCTTAATGACCGATTAAAGGCGGCGTTATGCAACAAAATTAATTATCTGCCGATAAATTCCTTCCACGGAGGGTGTATTAATGATCGCGATAAACCGCGTGGCAGAAAACACGCGAGGATACAGATTGCAGATTATTTCGGCGCCGTGCTGCGTGTTGGACGGCCGATCGCGTGTACGTGCACGCGAGCGTACGCGGCACTATCGACGTGCGCGTCCATTATAATAGCCGATCCGACCCGTCGACGGTCAATTACGTCTGCCGGGAACGCGATTTGCAAAATTTTATTGAAGCTTAAAGAATACCATTAACGATACGCCGCTTTCTCGCGGTGAAATTCCTCCGCCGCGTATAGAAAATGGTAGGCGCGCTCGTGATTTATATAATTGGTACCGTTTCGCGTGGGCAACGGGTGACGAACACGTGCGGCAAAATGGAATTCAAACCGCGGAATAAAATATGGAAAATTATTCGACCATTAATGTATTCCGGTATCGGTTCTTTAAACGGCCGATTTTTTTAATTAATTTATAGACTGCAATCGAGCAGGCGTTAAATTACAGTATACGGGAGGGCTGGGAGATAATTAAACGATAACGAATAATTATTAGATATTTCCGTGTAATAACGTTTCGTGAATTCTAACGAATCAAGGTTGCCCGGTCGATTGATTTACCACCGCAGTTCCTTTGAATATTATATCAATTTACTTCTGATTTACGTCGCGCACGGGAGTCCTTATTCCTTCGGAAACGAAAAAAAAAGAGAAAAAAAAGGAAAAAGAAGACGGCATCGTGGAATTTCGTGAATTTAAGGAAATTGATTTCGGGAATCCTCGAGAAAATTGATGGCCCGATGGAGACGTCAGGCGAAACGTCTCCGCGTAAACTGCCTCGGACTCCCCTTTGCTCGTGCGCATGACGGAATGATGAAATTTTTGGCGAGCCGGGAGATTTATGCTCCTATTCCCCGGGGACGGAGTTTAACGATGCCGCGTGACGAGCGAATCGGTTCCGTCGCGTTAGGAGTTCTCGGAATCTGCGATCTTTACGATCAAAGAGGAGCCACGCGATTATTATTAGAATTTTTTTCGGGAACGGTATTGATTTCTGATCGCGCGTAATCAGCGGCGGCTATCGCGATTGGCGAGAATGCTCGATGAAGATACACACGGGCCCGGGCCGTTAAAATAAAACCGACGATTTATATACAACCGATAAGAGCGCGCGTGAAATATTACCGAAGGAAACGAACGTTTATCCGCCGCTACCCGGTACCTCGGTATCTGCATTTGTTTTGTACAGTATGCAGCTGTTTACACACACCGCGACCATCGAATTAACGATCGGAGCCTCGCGCTGTATTAATAAACATGATACCATTTTCGAGGAACGAGGAGATCCCGCTCGAACGACCAATTACATTGATCCGATAATTATCGTTGAACGTATTTGTTCGAGCACAACAAATTATAAATTTCCACTGACTCCGCTTTGGGCCACTGAGATCACACGCTGGAAGATCTTCCGCGAGAGCTGGCAGCACGTGCGGGGAAAAATGAAAGTGGCCGGATCGATCGTCGCGAGGAAAAACCGGTGGAATGCGTTGACTCACCGGAAAGTCGCGTTTTTCTAACTCGCCGGGTGATTATCACTGTGAACCGATATACGGCTAGAACGATCGGTGGCCTCGATATCTCGCTCGCCAACAAATTAAATAAACGGCCGCGCGATGAATTGAAAAATGCCGGTGATAACGAGCAGCAATATTACCCGCCGGACAATTTCACAACGGCGTTCTTTGCCGATGATTTGCAAAAACAAACGTCCGCTTCTGCCTGCTAATTTATCGACACACTAACCTCGTTAAAGGCTCATTGATTAACGCGGATCGGCCGTCGATTGCGTAACCGTGAGCCCCCACCGTTTTGTTTCCACCGCTTCTCACGTGCGACGTAATTGTAGTTCACCGTAATTGGTTCCGTCGTCCGGTAAAAGTAATTTTCCCTGGAACTGGCTGCCGCCGCGTTCGTAAGAAACAGTCGGATTGCGCAATCGTGCCCGCTAATTATTATTAATTAACTCGGAGCCAGGAGATTCATGGGCGAAGAAAGCGTCGAAGGTGAAGCGAGGAGCAAAAAATT